CACACGCACACCGCCCAGCAGGCACACAGCGCACACACACACACACACACACACACACACAGACACATGCACACCGCCCAGCAGGCACACAGCGCACACACTCACACACACATACACACACACAGACACATGCACACCGCCCAGCAGGCACACAGCGCACACACTCACACACACTGCCCAGCAGGCGCACAGCACACACTCACACACACCGCCCAACTGTGTGCACCCCCCCCCCACATGCACCACCCAGCAGGCACATCCTCCCCTCGTACACACGCACCACCCAGCTGCATGCACACCATCCCTGCACACACACACCACCCAGCAGGCACACACACCACCCACATATGCATCACCCAGCAGCCACACACATTACCACACACATGGACCACCCAGCAGGCACGCACTCCACCCCTGCACACATGCACCACCCAGTAGGCATGCACACTACCACACACATACACACACCACCCAGCAGGCACGCACATCACTACCCACACACACCACACATGCACACCACCTGTGTACTGCACCCCTAATGCTGTAGACGCCAGGAGCCTACCTGCCAGGCAGGAACAACAGCGGGGCTGTATGGGGTGAGGCCTCCGCCTGTCCTTCAGAAGGGGTGCAGGCCAGCGGAGCACGTGTCCTGCAAGTGCAGCAGGTGCAGGCAGGACAGACCTGGGGCTCTAGGACAGACAGATCTTCTCTGCTCGTCACCCGCCTCCCTGAGGCCACCGTTGTGCAGGCTCTGCCCATTGGACCCTTGGGGTGGACGTGCCCAGGACAGATTAGGGGTGGGACAGCCACGTGTGAGCTTGGAACTTCAGTGGGGGCTCAGGGCCTTGGCAATTCACAAACCGGTGGTAAACTCAGGGAGTCTCAGCTGTCAAGAACACTGAGTAGGAGGACCGGCTGATGGCCTAAGGGTTACATTGTTGGACTCCCATTTGGAAAGCCACGGTTTGAGTCCCAGATCCGGTGGCTTAAACTCACTCAGGGCATGTGTGTGTGTGTGCCCAAGGTTCTGAAGAGACTGGAAGAGAAGGGATTGTGATGTAGACACCTCCCAGCTCCCGTCCCGAGGTTGATTTCTTGCTTTCTGTCTCTCTGTCTCCTTCTGTCTCTCCATCAAGTGCATGTGCCTTATAGCTAAAATCTCTAAGAAAAAGGAAGAAACAAGAAGGCCTAGTGGGGGAACTGGAAAGTCGCAGAGCCGGGAGCAGGGAGACCCTCCCTGCGAGCTGCTGGCCCTGGCCAGGCTGGGAAGGGCAGGGCAAGTGGGGGACCTCCTTCTGGTCTGGGGGAGGTGGGGTGAGACTGAAGAGCCTTGTGGCCTCCCAGGAAGGGAGGCACGGGGGTGCTGATTGGCTACTTTGGATCAGATCGGATCACACCGATGGCTCAGGGTGCAGTTGGCATTTGAGGAAGCGCTGAAGGGAGTGTGGGAACCGTGCGCTATTTTTGTGACTTCTCTGTGAGCGTGAACTGGCTGAAAACGAAATGGCATGGGCCTTGGAGGAAGCTCTGGGAGCTGAGCCATGGCAGCGCTCATGGGGCTGGGCCTGGCGGTGGGACACGGGCCAGTGGATCAGCACCGCAGGGCCAGCTGTGCCTGGTGGGGGGGGAAGTGGATGTCTACAAGCAAAGTGCTGAATCGGGTCACAGTTCACAGGCAACACATGCCAGATGGATCAACACTCAGACTGGAAAGTTTTAATTTAAAACTTTAAAATGCTCAGAAGAAATATAGAAAAATCTTGCCATGCATTAATAAGAAAAAACACTTTTACGCATTAGATCAATATGTTTAAAAATATTAACATAAAAAACCTCCAAATGAGACCCAAATGTATGCTTATGTAGGTGTGTGTGTGGGCGTGCACCTGCATGTGTGTGTGCGTGCCTGTGGATATGCGTGGGTACTTCATGTGTGTGTGTGTGTGTGTGTATGTGTGTGTATATGTGTGCACCTGGGGGTGTGTGCCAGGTGTGTTTGTTCGGGGGGCTGTGTGCTTGGCTTTGTCTGTATGTGTGACTCTACGTGTGTGTGTTTGTGTCTGTGTGTGTGTGGGCGTGCACCTGCACGTGTGTGCGCGTGCCTGTGGATATGCGTGGGTACTTCATGTGTGTGTATATGTGTGCCTGGCTATGTGTGCACCTGGGTGTGTGTGCCAGGTGTGTTTGTTCGGGGGGCTGTGTGCCTGGCTTTGTCTGTATGTGTGACTCTACGTGTGTTTGTTTGTGTCTGTGTGTGTGGAGGAAGTGGAGAATGCTATCCTCAGGGAGGGCTCAGAGGGAGGACCCAGCCCAGGGCCCCTGCTCTCTGGTGGAGGAGCTGGCTCCAGGAACCAGGATGCCTGTGCCTCGACCCTACCACGTGACCCATGCAGGTACCCACCCTGTCCAACCCCCTGGCCTCCAAGTCTTCCCAGGAGGCAAAAAGAAGGTGGCCTTCAGGGGCTTCCCAGGCAGACCTGTGCCCTCCCTTCGTGCAGCTGCCCCTGTCCCGACTGCTCGTACCGCCTGGGGTGGGCAGCTGTGGCCCTTGTCAGAGCACGCCCTCTCTGAAAAGGAAACAGGGCTGGGGGGCCAAGGGAGGGAGAGGCCAGGGCAGCTCGCGGTGTTGCCAGCGAGCTGGCACGCCTGTGACAAGGGCCTGCTCAGGATCAGTTGCCTCCCCCCGCTCTGGTGGCCACAGAAGCAGAGGAAGCGGCCTGCCCTGGGGAAGCCAGGCTCCACAGGGCAATGGGTGTGACTCCACGCAGTGCTTGCACACGCTCCTGCCCAGACAGCCTGTACCGGGAGGCAAATGCCTGTGCGTGTGCGTGTGCGTGCATGCGAGTTGCCCGACGGTATGAGTGGTTGCCAGAGAGAGAGACAGAGACAGAGAGGCAGAGGGAGAAAGCATCCGCGTGGGGTATGGACCCTGACCCGGCCTCTTCCACCCCTTCATCTCATCGGGACTCGGGCGTGCAAGGGGGCATGTTTCTCACGTCACCCAGGCTGGCCAAGTGGGACCTGTCATCCTAGCCACTGGGCTCCAGGCCAGCCCCAACGCCTGTTTTGCGTACTAGTTTACTTGCACACGTAGACGAGCCGTTTCATACTCGCCCACACAGGTGTGAGCAAAATCCAGCTCCCGCGAGAATGCCCCCTACGAGCTGATGAGAAAGCTGCTTAGTGCAAGCTCTCCGTGACCGCCAGTCTGCAGTTTCTATGTCTAAATCTTTTGAGTCATTAAGACCAACTTTTAATATTTAAGAAAAGTGAGCTACTCCTCTCCCCCCCGCCCCTGCTCCCCACAAGCTGTTTAAGAAACTTCTCTTCATGCCAGGTTTGTCCAGAACGCTCGGCTCCTGGGAATGTGTGTGTGAACTTTCTCCGCCCTTTCACCGGGCAACAGCAACGAGGCAGGCGGATGGTAGAGGCCGAGTTCTGGCTCTCCCGGGTCCTAGCGAAGCTGTCTGGTGAATGTTTCCATCAAGCGTGGCGAAAACGTTGGCGAAGGTCTCCCCACACCCCTAACCGCAGATGCGAGGGACTGCCGTGCACAAACCCAGTGCCGGTGAGAGTGCAGGGCTGTGGGCTGTGGACAACGAGCCCGAGAACCCAGGTCTGGGTAGGGATGGGAGCCCCTCCTTGGTACCATTGGCCTGGGTGCTCAAGGGGCCCGTTTCTCTGAGGCACGCAGGCCACCCTCAGGGCTGCAGGATTCAGTATGGCCTGCGGGGAGGCGTTCGGGAAACATCTTCAACTATCGGGGAGACCTGCCAAACTCCCGGTGAGAAATGATATTCCTGCACGGGAGTCCGACAGCCTGACCCCCGACTGCAGAAGCTGCCAGGCCCCCAGGCCCTCCCTGGCTCTTGGTAGCAATGGCTAGCAGCTGTGGTGATTTGGGGGCCCTAAAGGCAGGGCTTGACTCCTCCGCCAGCCTGGTTTCCAGGAGGAAGAGAAAGTGGCTGCACAGAGTTGCTCCCATGGGGGGGCAGCATTGGCGCTCCTTGCTCCCCTACCCCGCCTTGCCTCAAGGCACCCACAGAGGGAAAGGCCCTCCAAGGCCCTGTAGATCCCACCCTCATGACCCCTGGGGTTCACTCCTGGGTGTGCAGAGCAAGAGGTCTTCTCTCCCTGGGAAGATGCAGCTCTGGGGCCTGGGGAGGCAGGGCTCTGGCTCCCTATCCCACAGGGGGAGCGGGGTCCTGTGGGCTGGGAGGCCTCTGAGTGATCCCTGGGGGCTGGGGGCTGGCGCTTGGAGGGGGAGGAGCCAGGCCAGAGGCCCACCCTCCCCCACCCAGGAGTGCCCCAGCTCCACAGCCAGTCCTGGAGTGTGGTGGTGGGGACTTGGTAGATGCCTCCCGATGTGGTCCTCGTGGGGCTCCTGAGTGTGGGCTGGAGGAGGCACCTCATGGGGGAGAGGTCAGAACCCCTACCCATGAAGGCAGGACTGGGCCCTGGCTGGGAGGTTGTGGGTGCAGCCCCGGGAGTCAGCCCCG